TAGAACCTGCTGTTGAGTATACTTAACGGCCGCGGAACCTTAAACTCACAACATGCAAATCACATGGGAATTGAGCCGTCAAGGCGAGAAAGACCTCCGGGGGCGGTTGAAACCATATTTCTTCCGCTTTCTTCGCAATGAACGCGTGCACCGGTTAGTTCAAGTGGGCCCCAACGCGATGTGAGAAAAGCGACGGACTTACGGGACCCGCGTTTGGAATAAGATCAGGTGTTACAGATACGTTGGATTCGAAAGTGAGATGGAAAATTATATTCATCGGATGGTTATCGGTGACTCCTTGACCGAGTCCACGCCCATCATCGCGTAACAACCGTCGATCTAACATGATCTCGAAACCATCCGTTTTCGGGCTTGCCACACCCAATGACTGCCTCGTGTGCACGGAGAATCGCTGCCCTTCGGATTGCATGAAAGCAAGCGAGGGCATTGGGTAGTAATTTCCTTGTATAGGAATCTTGTCATATGTTTCTCTACGGCTCATTTGAAATCCGTTTAAATCCGAATAAAATATCTTTTGTTATCGATTTCTGTTTTGTATCTAACAACCAATTCTTTATCATTAAATTCACCCCGAGAAGCTCCACATGGTATTCTTTTTCAATCAAATGTTCTGAACTGACCCCTCACAGTTTTATAAATCCGGGTGCTGTGGGACACCGGCGATTTCGTCCATGATGTTTTCGGATGCGAAAAGACTTCTTGAACCAGAAACCTCGGGAAATTACCATTTCGCCCCCAGACTCCGTAATCGGCGAGGCATCACCGTTCGGTTTGAAAAGGTAGGCCCCACTCTCGGGACTCGTGTACATCGCCAACTCTTCATTAACAACATTCTGGGCGCCTTTCATTTCGGTTACTTTCTGTAACAAACCAAAATTGGAATTAAACGTAAGAGATCGATGTCGGTTTCGATTTCGAATCTGGACCGAATCACCCTCCACCTTTGAGCAGGTATAAGGCGCAAGACAAGGGGTGTGTCGGAAATTGGAAGAAATTTTTTAATTTTGCTGGTTTGGCCTTCTCGCATCCGACAAAACCATTCGCGATGTAATACGTTTGTAACCCCATGGCAGGAATCGAAGCTCTCCAAAACACTCTATGTCTTCCAGTAAACATTTTGATTTTATTATGCTGCAATTCAGGAGATATTTGACTTTTCACACACGTCCAATTCGAGTCCAAAATAGTCACATCGGGTCTTTCAACAACAAACATAACAACCTCGTTTCTCGTTTGTTCAATCGGATTAAAAAGGACCACGGTTTGCACGGTTCCTTGATTAGCACTAACCGGTCGGTGCACCGGTTGCGCATCAAATTTGGACCGGATCAAAGCGGGCTCGAACCGAGACGGGTTTTGATCGTTTTTATCATGATGGATCCCTAAAAGAACCTCAATAGCTTTGGACATAAAGATTTGAAGATCTTGTAAAGAAGTATGCATACGCATACCATAATCTTGAACCACATGATCTTTAGCAGTTCCAGTGACCCCATCATGATGTTGAAATAAAGCTAAGTTTCTTCTTGCTGCTGTTAACTTATGGGTAAAACCAGTAGGTAATTTTTCACATTGAGCCCTTTGACAATACCCTAGTAGAAACACCATAGTCATTTCAGTGGCACGTAAGGTTTGTTCAAGACACACGATCAACCGCTTTAAAAAAAGGGCGTGAAACATAATACCCAGACCAATAATCTTGTTGTCTATCAGCATAAGTAAAGAAATCACCCGATAAAGAAGGAAACCCCGGAAATCTGACCCGACCCGATTTCACCGGGTCGTGAGTAATTTATTCTTTCGGATTCTTCACGTAAAGTCCGGAAGTAATCGTCTAAAGTTCCGAATTTAGCCTCGGTGTTTAACTCCGGGTTTGAATTTATGTAATCGAATAACATTTGATAATTACGAAACTGGGCTTCTGCTTCATCAATGCTGATTGTAGCGGAAATCGTCTCCGAGAGGGACAAGAAGGGTATTTGTCCGGTAGAGAGTTGACTTTTTCTTGTATTGGTCAAGAAGTGTAAGGGCTCTTTCCTTCATGTTTTCTTGGGTTGTTTCTTCCGGATGTTTCCCCCAGGGGCATCGCTCGTACATGAACCCGTGCATTCTTGCAAAGTCAAACTGGCAACATATTGCGGGCTCGGGCCCGCAAGTGTGTGGGACATCATAGGAGTAAAAGGGCATCATGTGGACAAAAATATCGGTTGTTTCATCTGTGTCCCAATTCTGTCTCCATATGTATTCAAGATTTTTATGTAAAGCCAGTTCTTTTTTGAGTTCATAATGAGTTCTTTGTATAAGCATGTTTTCAAAGCCCATACGCCGAAGAAGGTATGCCATGGTGGATGAATAGCCGAATGGATCGATTGCCCATGCATTTTTTGGGATTATGCCAACAGTTTCATTTAACCACATGTTTCCCTCCATCATCTGATAAAATTGAAATGAAAAGATATTATGTAACATGAATGGATGCTTTAACCAGGTAACAATCTATATTGAGATGAATCAGTGATAAAAGATACCTGTTCGATGATGGCAAAATAATGTGAATTGGCCTGCAAGAGTCATTCAAAAATGAAGTTCGGTAAGACTAAAGGCAAAATGAAAGTAGCCATGTCTTTGATCAAGGCAAAATTTAGCTACTTTATGTTTGAAGGCAAAAAATCATAGGAGCAAAATAAATGGAAGCAAGTGAGAGTGAACAGATTTTTAGCTTGTTGGATCGACATTACCTCATCATTCATCACCCAACCTCCTCCAACAATTTCTAACTGCCCATTTTGCAGTAACTTGATCAAAGATTCTCTTTTAGCATCTGATGCATCCCTCCACCATCTCTCTAGGTAGGACATCTCTTCCCAGATAAACTTCCTCCGTTCATCCTAAATTTAGCATAGCAAATCCATCCATTCGAAACGTTTCCACCGCATAAATAGATCAAGAATTAGCAGATCGAACATAGAAACAACAAGTTACCAATGAAATTTAGTTCGTACCTTAGAAAGAGTTTCGATAATTGTGTCGAGAATATGTCTAGACTGGCGATCATAGTACTCATCAACAGTAAGCTTCCAACCAGGATCATTATGTGAATGGGGTACAACAAATACTTTCAATTTCTCGTTGTTCCATTCGTCCCTTTATAAGAAACCCTCCACCCCTGCGTCCAGGGTCCACCATCTTCGTCCTTGAATTCGATCTTATCATACAAATCCTTGGTGGTCAAATCAACAGAAGCAGCTCCTAAAGATAGATTAGAGTGATTCGACGATACATGCCCGGACGAAGAAGATTTGGATTTCCGATAAACTGGCTTACGTACCCTAAAGGCACGCGAATTGCCGATACGAAATTGCGAGGAGATAGGTTTCGGAACGCCGTAAAGGTAAACAACGAAAAAAAAGAAGAAGATAGATACGGCGAGTCCGATGGTAAAGAAATTGGCGAATAAGAAGTCTTTGACGGCAGCGCGTTTGCGAGATTTACGAATGTGTTTACCGGATTTGGTGGTTGATGATGTGAATGGGAGGAGAGAGCGGGTCCAACCGCCGCCGATTCCACGACGGACGTTGGAGTTGCCGGCGTGAGAAGAGGAGAAGGCCATGAGGAGGAGGATGAGATCGGCGGAGTAGCCGAAGGAGACGGTCCACTCAGTCGGGGCTTTGAGTCAATACAAGACCGTCTTGGACACCGGTTTTCGTTTAGCCATCAACTACTGGACGCAAAGGCCATGAAGTCGTCGTTTCTTCGTCAATTGCTCTTATGCAGTTTTATCATCAATTGAATCATAGGTTGTAACAAAATATCGCTACACATAATGTAATTTTGTTATTCTATATTGTAATACTTAAGTACTTAGAATATTTGATGATTTTCGATTATCTAAAAGGTTGTCAATTAAAATTAGACTAAATTATAAACAGAAAAAGAAAAATATAAAAATAGATACTTTTCATGTATTCTCCCAAAAAGTAGACAAAAGTTAATGAATTTATGCCCGTAAGTCCAAAAGACTACACGGAGTTGAATTCTCGGCACATCTGAGCGTAGACATTGCGCCACCAACCCCGTATGCCGAGTTCGTTGGTCAAACTAAGTGAAATTCTACCAATGATAGAGAAACAAACAATTTTCAAATTTTCAAAAAAGTTACTCTTTTTTTGCTGCAAACGATGAAACAATCTTGCAAAAAGTTTTACCACTTTACCGGAGTGATAAGGGGGCACCTTTCAAATTTCTTCATGTTTGGAATGTTGTGAAGGAGTGCAAAAAAATGGAAAGATATCAAAACTTCGGAATCGTTTATGGGTAGTTCTTTTAAAAGAACCAAAACATCTGAAACCACTCATAGTCAATTTGCGGATGTGCATGTCAGGATTGACCTCAATGAAGATGAGACTATTGAGGTTCCAAGAGCTAGTTTTCTCATGGGAAGAGATCAAACAAAACGACAGGTAAAGGAGTTGCAAGTAGTTCGAGCGACATTAAGCAAATGACACGCAAAATGGACAAGTTTAAAGCTACTTTGGAGCAATACTCAAGTGTCGCAAAAGAGAAGGAAAAATCTCATGACATTGCGATTTAACGAAAAAATACTAGTCACCTTACAGGATGTCAAAGAGAATTGGCATTAAAGGCCAAAGACGAGATTGCAAAAAAATATATATATATATGTAGGTTTATCTATGTTTCGTACCATGCCATCTAAATGACAACTTGTGAAGAAGTGTGACAAATCTTATGTGACGCTTATGTGATAGCTAAAGGGGTGTGGCAAAAGTGACATCAATCCTTCTAGCCTAACAACCAAATTTGTAGGGTCTTGGATTCCTAGTGTCCGGCAAAATGCTCAAAACTTCGTTGTTTTTTGAATGATTTTGCAGTGTGGTTTGTATAGGGTTGAGTCACTGCAATGTGAGTAGCTATTGACCAAAACCATATTGCAAACCGCAAATACGTTTATTTCATTTTCAAAAGTGATTGGTATGGGTATTTTTGTAGTGCGGTTATGCAATTATTTTTGCGATGCGGTTTTTTTATTTGTGGTTCGGTTATTAATCGCATGAATTTGGTGCGGTTATTTGTACGGCTTTTAACCACAGTTAAACATTTCAGATTTTTCATGACTCGTTTAGACATTTGAGACTTTTTAGCAGTTTTAAAAGTTTGAATATATTGCTTGTGATAACTAGAAAAACATAAGGTATAAGATAATAAAAAAAACACACTGCACCGTCGGTTTCGTTGCAGTTTCGATTTATCGGTTTCAGATAATACGGTTTCTATAATTGTAGCTTCGCTTTTACTAAGCCTAGTTTGTGAAATGCTCCCATCTTTTGTGAATTTTTTTATATCCTGATGAATCTGGCCCTCCGTATCAGTATTGAAAAATCCAACGTAAATTCTGACTTTTGTACCATGAATGGACCAAGTAGAATATTGTCTTGAACTATATAACATTGTATAAAATGTTATTGATTATGGTTAAGTTTTAGTAGTTGTAACAAAAAGAACATTCTCAGAAAAATAAATTTCTTGATTGCTACTTTAGAGTAGCCTAATTTGTAACAAAGCATCATATCAAAAAAAGGGAATTATGGCTTCTGCAAATGTATTGGTACATGGACCACAAAAAGGTAGACAAAGGCAACCAAAGCAGAGCCTCAAGGTTTTCATTGTTGTTTGCATTAAGGGTTTTCTGGTACAATAAATGATGAAACTCAATATATCCGGGAAAATGCTAAGTAATGTGTGTTGTATATTTGACCAAAAATATAAACGTTGTTTGGTGTTACATTTGATGTCAATAAAGATAGGTTTGAAAGATAGTTCTATTAAGTTTCTTTTTCTCCAAGATCTTGATTTGTACTATGTTATAAAGAGAGTTGATGATGGTGATTTGAAACACCTTATGAATGTTGTCTCCAATACCACAAATGTTGTTATGTATTTGGTTCATCGTGTGGGTGTCATGTACATAGATCTACTATAGTTAATCAATATGTTGTTGTGGAAACCCGTCTAATGGAAGAAGGTCTTATGTAAATGATATAGTGGAAGATGGTTCGATGAAAATCTATCATAATATGGTGAGAAACAATCAAGCACACGTTTTTTTTTTCTTTTTTTTTTTTGAAAATATTGTAAATGAAAGGGGAAAAGGAGGTGGGTGGGGTATGGGTCCTTTGACTTTCCATTTAATAAATCATAAAAGAAAATATTAAAATGATGTAAAAAGTAAATAAAAAAGATAAAATACTCTTTTTAATTTTGGCTAGGACCAAATTTAGGACTAAACTAAACCTAAATGACCAAAATGCGTAATTTTGAAACTCGTTAGAGTAAGATACTGTTTGGTTCGCAGAATGCTTCTAAAGGAATTGAAATTGGAATTGGAAAATGAATCTGTCAGGAATTTGAATCTAATTCCATATCATGTTTGGATGACAGAAAATAGAATTATAATTAATTCCAGATTCTGTTTGGTTCGCAAGGAAATGGAATTGGAATTCATGTAAAATGACAAAATTACTTTTTTTGTCTGTTTTGCTTAATTTTACTTTATTTTCTAACTTATATGTAAAGATACAATATAAAAATTATAAAAATAATAAAATCTCGGCAGTAGCGGTGGTGGTAGTGGTAGCAGCGGCGGTAGTAGTGGTGTTGTGTGATGGTAGTGGTGGTGGTGACGGCGGTAGTGGTGGTGGCGGTGGTGACGGCGGTAGTGGCTGTGGTGGCGGCGGTAGTGGCGGTGGTGGCGGCGATGGTAGTGGTTCTTGGTGATGGTAGCAGTGGTGGCGGCGGTAGTAATGGCGACAATGGCGGTGGTGGGGCGGCGGCAGCGATAATAGTGGTGGTGGGTGATGGTAATGGTCGTGGCGGCGATGGTAGAGGTGGTGGTGGTGGTAACAATGATGGTGGTGGCGGCAGTGGTGGTGTTTGTGGCGGTGGACTTGGTGGAGGCGATGGTAGTGGTGGTGGGTGATGTTAGTGGTGGTGGCAACGATGACGATGGTGGTGGTGGCGGTGATGGTGGCGCGGTGGTGGTGGCTAGTGGCGGTGGCGGTGGTGACGGTGGTAGTGGTGGCGGTGGTGGTGGTGACGGGGTGTGATGGTCATGGTAGTAGGTGGCGGTTGGCAGTCGATAGCAGTAATGGTGTGTGTTGGTTTTCTTATAAAGAATGTATTTTTGTAATCTGTCATTTTCCTTTATAAGAATGAATATTTTCCATCCAACTTTGGAATGAATATACTTTCCTCCATATATGATGGAAAAATTATTTCATTTAGGAATCATTTTTCCCTCTTTAAGTCCAACCAAACGCTTGAATTCAAGAGAATTGAAATCATTTTCCCTCAAATTTTATTCATTTTATGTAAACCAAACACTTTAAGAAAACTACTAATCGTGGTAACCATTGTTTACAATTTTCTTTATTTTCAAACTATGAAATAAAAGATATATTATTTCTTCGGAAAAAAAGCCATAATTTCAAGTCATACAAGTGGCATGAGTTTGTTTGTTTCGTTGTATAAAACCAATTTTATATAAACACACAAAATAATATTTTATAGTTTTTCATATACTTAAAAAGATATTAATTGTTTATTTATACTTCGTGATTGTATTAATTGCATTATTTTTTTAGTTTTCAATTAAATCAATCAACATGCATTATCAATTTAAAGCAAATACATGAAAAAAAAATAGCAAATTAACATAGATAAGAATGTAATCCCAAACTTAAACTTTAAGTAATTTGATCGAATATGCGAAAATTATAGTTTGTAACTTTGTATCCGCTATACTTTGATAATATCTTGAGTTTAAAATGGTAATAGTATGAACTTTGAACAAACATGTTTGGTCAATATAATGATAACTTCAATATGAACATCTTCGCCATAAATCAACTAATTTAGTTTGGATTAATAAATACTTATCTATTTGGAATTTTTTTAACTCGATATTATTATAACCTAAAGAAAAAAATAAAAATAAAAAAAGAGAACAGAATATTTTTATTCACATTTTGTTGTCTTTAACTTCTATTTATGTTAAAAATTTGGTATCACGGAATATGATGTTCTAATAATCAATGAATTTCTTGATATCTTGAAGATTGTGTAAGTTCAATTTTCGTATTGATATTTCTCACATATGCTCAAGTTTCAAAATTTTATATCTACGATAATCCTCGAGATACTTTTAGATTTAGACACAAAAATAAAAACAACTCTTCTGAAGACTATATGTAATGTTCAAGATCCTAAGATAACAACCAAAGTGACGATTTCTGAGTAGATGTACTCATACATCCGAAATATGGATAAGATTGAAAAAAATAATGGTTTCTATGGTTTGAAAATAGTTTCCGCAAAACAACTGCCAAAACTGATTGGATAAATACAGACAATGTGAGATGTCCCTGGCCGCTTGGCCATATGCAAAACCTTCATTCTTTCCTTTATTCCTCTACTCTAAATCCTTAATCATGTTTTTTCATTGCACTTATAACATAAAATTTTGAAGAGGTTTTCGGGGCGTTGCCCTCAACCTTACTCATATCAGTCAGTTGAACCACTCTCAAGCCCCCCGCA